AAGCCCGAGAGAAGGGCCGCAGAAGGCCGGCATGCAGGGCCCGCCGCAGAAGGCTCCGAGGAAGGCAGTGGCCCTTGCTCCTCTGAGTGGCCCTGCTGCCCTTCCTTCCTGCGGGCAGGAGCAGCTTGGTCCCTGTTGACTGTGGCTTTTGCTACCTCCTGGAGCCAAGACGGCCAGCTCCTGAGGAGGTGACTAGGTCAGCTCCTGCCTGCCCACCAGGCCGGCCCAGGATCACCAGGCAGTGGGGCGGCTGGGTGGGGGCTGCGATCCTATTAAGCAAAGCACCTTAGTGCCCGCCCGGGCAGCCTCCTACGTGCCAGATGCCAGGGCCAGCCCTGCCCAGGGCCCGAGGGCGCGCGCCGAGGGATGGAGGGCCCCGTCCTACTCTCCCTTTGAAGGCTTTGCCTCGTCACCCTTTCTGCAGGTGCACAGTGGGGCGGGCAGCACTCAGGCTCCCAGCCCGACTCTGTTCCTCCGAGCCGTGTGACGGGGGTGAATTGCAGGACTCTGTGCCCAGTTCCTTCCCCTTAAACTGCTGGCAAGGTCGGGCAGCCTAGGCCTAGGGTTGTGGGGTGTGGGGGCAGTGACCGTAGAGCATGGGGCAGGCCATGTGGGCCCGTGCCTGGGCTGCCCCGTGTCTCCCTGTGACGGCGGGTTGGACCCCTGAGCGCCTGCTCCCCACATGAACCCTCACCGGGCCCTGACAGTCATGGGGGCTCCAAGAGGACGTCCCAGGCCTTTCCGAGGTCAGCACTGAGTCTGAACTGACTCGGGAGAGGCGTGGTGCTCGGAGCCCGCCTGAGGTAGGTGGGGGCAGGTGGGGGCGGAACCTGAGGCCTGTCTGGGTTCTGGGTGGGCAGCGAGTGGGTAGGGTGGGCAGCTGTGGCCACCAAGGCTGTGCTGACCACCCTCCCCTCCAGGGGGCCCAGGGAGCCTGCCTCATCGGGGGAGGGGTGGGAGACCCCCGGCCAGGCCAGCAGTGACTGTATGGCCCCAGGAGGATAGGGCACCAGACGCTGGGAGGGACCGGGCACACAGCCTGCCTGCTGAGGGGCCCCATCCGGCCATGGTAGGCTGCCAGCCTCATGGTGGGGTCCCCGTCCCCTGGGGACCCGGCTTGGTGTTGGCAAGGGGCAGGTGGGGGCTGAGGACACACTGGAGCTGGCCTCCACTTCCCAGCCCTGGGCAAGTCGCCTCATCTCGTCTGCGAAGCAGCCTGGGCTCGTGGGCTGGTGGAGTCAGCACATAGAAGGGTCGCCGAAGGCCACGTCACAGGCCGGGAGAAGCCTAGCGGCGGGGGGACCGGTCTGAAACTGCCCTCTTTCCCGGAGGTGGATCTCCCGCGTCTCCCCAGGCCTGAACGCTGTGCTCTTGCCTCTGAGGCCCCTGA